TGCCATTTGTTACCGAGATACGATGGAAATTTTACTCATATTCTTACTTCATGAATTTATCAGTGATATCCATACAACTATTATGTAACATTGAATTATGTTGATTATAATAAGTTACAGATTGGAATAAAGAAGTTTAATAATGATTATGACATTGTAGGATAATGTACAGACTCAAATCACGATCATTAGTTATTGGCACATGATTGTGTTCATTGTTGATGGATATCAATTCGTTCAACTAATTTCAATAAGACACAAATAGAAACTATTGTATTAGTGTTCGGAGCTTTGTCTTATTTCTTTAATTTCAATAAAATAGTTGTATCAAATAAATCTAGACTGTGTTCGTCTTGTAAACAAACCTAATCGAGCAACAACAAACAATTTCGTTCATACGATCAATAGTATCAACAGATTGGAATATCGAATTTAATCAAGAATTATCGTTGGCGAAAAGTTTTTTATGTGACCTATAGAATCTTTTTGACATGCAAAACGTGAAAAAATAAAATTCCAAGGGAGAAAAAAACAAATAACGAACAAAACCTATTCAATAGATGAAGAACGATATCAGACTAGAATTTAAGTTGCTTATTACTATAAGTACTCCAAAATCTTTTCTAGTAATTTATCCTTTAAACAAAATGTATTGTTTTGCCAAGATTTCCAAAGTTGATTTTTTTCCAAAACCAACTATCTCAAAAAATTTGTTTTTTTTTATTATTTTTGATACCGTGTTTTCTGATGCCTTTTTCATTAATATGAGTGAAGTATATTCACAACGTTATTTACAGGCTCCCTCTAATAACTATTTGCCATCTTGTTTCTCTTTTCATTTCTCTCCTTTTCTACCTATCTGTTTGTTCATGCGACGAGAATACGAAATAAATGAGTGAAAGAAATGAAAATTATGTTGATAATTGTTTACATTGAATGGCAAATGACAAATTAGATTCTTTAGAGCATCAACATAACAAGACGAATTCGTCTAGTTTATCAATCAGAAAAATTGACAGAATCTTAATAACCGTACTCATGATTGCTCTTATAACTTTTCTATCTTTCTATGCTTCACACTCACATGTAATTTAGTTCGGTAGTTGAAAGCTACTATTGCTCACCATGTGATGCACGCAACACAGAAAAAGATGAAAATAAGTATCACGAGAAAAAATAACGCTCAAGAACAAGCGTCGGTTGGAAAAAACCCACTGATTTTTCACCCAATAATTCACACGCTTTATAATCCATCATTGATCAAATAAAAACAAGCATCCAACGTTAAAAGCTTGATTTGAGCATAAGTAGACTGTAGGTATCATTTGGTTTTTCTGCATTGTATTACCAACGATAACTAACACTCACATTGTCTGGCGGAAAGAATAACGATGACCCTATTCATCACTAGAGACAATGGAAAAGATCACCAAATGTCACTATTTCTTTTTTATTGCATATAACTCTGTTCATGAGAACATACTACAAATAAGTTAGATACAATCATGAAAATTAAGACTCTAAACAGAACAACATCCTGATTGACTAAATGAAAAACACTAAGATTCGAAACAAAGTTCTTTTTCTATATTTTCGGAGCAAAAGAGTAATTGAAAAGATGAAGTCTGTAGCCAGGTAACAATAGTCTTATACGGGTAAGAATTTGGATGTGGGCGATTCATTGGTATTCCGTAGATGATGTAACTTCTAAACTCACAAGCTCTATACAGACTCTAATAAGGGCTACTTTTATCACATACAAGAATTGAACAATGAATTATAAATTATACATTTGATCGTCTTTTCTAATCAATGATAAAGATCTTAGCATTCGAAAAGTACTAAGTCTTACAACAAATTTTATATCAATCAATAAGACTGAAGAAAATCTATAGAACGACGAAACTTTTATCAATGATACATGTTTTAATCTCATAAAAATGGGAGACAATATTCTCCTGTACGCAACATACCTTTAGTTCTGGAAAAGTTTCAACATTGAACTTCTTCTTGATTATACTTGAGTATATAACTAATGCGAGAGCTATTCAAAATTGACTGCATAATATAGATTCTGAATGTGATACAAATCATAGAGCATATCCTTAAATGTAATTTTTCATACAAAACTTGTTTTGCAAGTTTTCATGATCTAAAGAAAATATTATTTTTTTTATCAGAATGTCGCAGATGTTATCAAATAGAACATATACGAATCCATTAAATAATAACAGTGTCGACAAATACATAAAATGCTAATTGAATATTTTTACACCATACTTAACTTCTTTTAGGGTGTGGATGTAGATGTGCCTGTAACTGAAGTTAATGTCCACATCCAAACCCTTATTTACCAAGAAAATATCTTACTAGATGGTAAATTAACTTTTGATTATTTGACATTCATCAATAGGAAAAAAAGCAGTAACTCTTTCCACATCTATAGATGAAGTATTTTATCGAAGATTTATATAATTCTTAGCTAATCAGGTACACTCTATCACACATTATAAATAGAGGTTTTGAGTGTGGCTGTATGTATGGATGTAGATAATATTAATGAATAATGAAAACATTGCCAACCGTATTCAAACTCGTACGTCAACATTTATGCTCATACTCACATCCACGTGTAACTATCCTATGGATAGATAATAGATGATACGTGTTCAAGTGCTAGATCATGATATCAATTATCAGAGAGAAACAGAAAGAGTTGAACTTTACAAGTTATTCTTGTTGACACATGATTACCTTTTTGAGTGATATCTGATACTTGATGTACAAATATTAATTGATGAACGTTGTTCGGTGCTATTTGAAGCAGAGCTAGAGCAAGTCTTTGTGTGGTTTACATACCATCAGTTTAGATATGATAGGTATGATTGAAGAACACTTGATATTGATTAACAATGAAATATTATGACTGAATACAAATGGTATGAAGAGAGAATCATTTATTCTCGGTTGAGTTTAAGGTGAAATCCAATTAACTTAGGAATAGAGAAGATCGATTAAACTTGTCGATTTATAAAGAGAAATGCTTCCCATATAGTCAAGAATATTTGAATAAAACTCGTACAGATTATGGTGAAAAGTTTTTTGATAAGAAATTTATATTATTTTGACTTTGTTGACATTTTGAATAACTGTTCGATTGCATCAGTATGGCATGTTTCGTTCCTAATGTCTAAAGAATCAAGTTGAGTATCAACTATATCATATGTTGTGAATGGTATTATATTTTCTGTGTATAAAATTCAACATTAGACATGTTTCAAAATGTAGGAGAATTAATGAAAGCAAACTTGAGTAGAAAAAAAATACAATTTTTCTGTTGATTCACTGTGGGAACTACGATAGAAATAGAGAAACAACAGATGGTATCTATCAATGGCCTATTATTTTACTTTATTGCTCAATATCTGTTGGATAGAATTGCATAGAGACAAAATAGAATACTTCACACACGCTAGAATAAGTGATTGCTCCTCGTAAATTCATCAAGCCCATCCAAAAAATCTGTTCTGGTTCTGTGTCTGTAGGCCTGTTTCAAGGTCTAATTTTCTTAAAACCTTGATACAATGAAATAAAGTATTCTACTGAATGAAAGTTGCTGTTTTGAAGAACAACTATGACAAACAAGAAAACGATCGAGAATCTGATTTCATTTTTATAATGTTAAATAAATCTAATAGGAATATTTATACCACTATTGTTTTCATAATTTGATTTCTTTAATTATTCTTATTTCAGAAATAATAAATTGATATGCTTTAATAATCAAATTTTTTTACTTCGATACGAAAAGATTGTGATGTTAATGTAGAAACGAGTAGCTGTCTAATTTGAGTTCGAAAATGAATGAGAAAAGAAGGACTTTCATTTCTTGACATCCGAAAAGCAAAAGCAAAATTTTTTCTCACAGACACCCTTGTGAATGTAGCAAAACATAGAAAGAAGTTCTTTTATATACAATTTATAATTCGAATAGACACTCATGTTGAATTAGAAAAAGATAGAAAAGTATTAAATTTGTATATAATCCATATTTTGAGCAAGCATCGAATTTCACATAGGAACCTATAAGCATCACCTTAGATGCTATTAGACTTCTTAAAATGCAAGAAGCATCGTTGTGGATGCTACAGATTACGGTTGAAATGCTTCATACTTCTACTGAGACGCTAGAAAAGGTATGTAAGAATTTTTAGCGATCATGCATTAGTGTAACATTTCAAACTTGAATTCAATTAAAATTTAAGTTTCAACTTTAAAGTGTTAAAATCGACAGTACTTCTATCATGATGATGTGTGTGAATGTATATGAGTCGTGATTCTTCAGTGTTGTCGATTTGAAATTTGAAACTTGAAATTTCAATTGAATTCAAGTTTCAAATTTGACATATATCAAAATTTTTCGTTCTATTTCATCCAAGATGAGGCGAAATATTTGAAGATTGTTTCATTCCACATAGGAAAGCAAATGTTAAGGATAGTCTCATCCTATTTGGACATTATGCAATGCATATTATATATATATATCATATCAAGAACACTGATTATCAAATACTTTTATTGGTATTTAAATTGACATGAGTGGTTCTCTCTATGAATGACACTATTATTTTATATTAGCTGCTGCTCTACTTTGTTTTTTATACAAAATAATCCACTTGACTCATAACATAAATCATTTCGCTTTAGGCTTATTCATAATATTTCTGCTCACTAATATTTTATTGTAAGGGCATTTTGTTCGACTTATACGTTGATTTTCAGTTTAAACGATATATTTGTGAATAGAAATGTGATTATAAACCATGGATATTTGATTGATGTGTGCATATGTCATACATAATATGTGCATAGGCAATTAAAATTTGAATATTAATGTGTTTATCTGTTTTGCATTATCGTTAATATTAATCACTGCTTATTTACGATATACTATAAATAAAAGGTAAGGTAAAGAATATTTTATTCTATAAGATAAAAAAATGTATGCATATCGACTATCAAATGTATTGTTTTTGCTTATCTTAATATTTAACGTTTATAAGATACAAGCCAAAGAAATATCATTTGATACAATAGTTTGTTTTGGTGATTCAAATTCGGACATTGGCAATGTTTATAAATTATCAGATTCAAAATGGCCTATTGATCCACCTTATTATAGGGGTCGATATTCTAATGGAAAAATTTGGATAGACAAATTAGGAATATCGAATATTATTGATTATGCATATGGAGGTGCAACTACTGATAATAACTTAGTACGAGGTTCTACAATATTTAATTTAACAGTACCAGGTGTTCGTCAACAAATAGCTATGTACAAAAATACTATTCATTCAAGAAAGATAAATTATCATCGAACACTTTATGTTATTTGGATTGGTCAAAATGATTATTACTTTAATATAGCTTTAGCTTTTGCTCCATCAATTGTTGTTCAAAGTATCGTCAATGGAATAAATGATTTAATTGAAACAGGTGCGAAAAATATTCTTATTATTAATCTACCACCATTTGAAGTATATCCAGCTACAGCTGTTTTTAATGCACATGATTTATTAAAGAAACTTACACTTGATCATAATAATAAATTATTAAATTCAGTTCGGCTACTTCAAGCAAATCATTCAAAAATATCATTTGAAATCTTTGATCTTTATTCACTTATTTCAAATATTCTTATGAATACCACAGCATATGGAATAAATAGTACGGATAAATGTTGGGATACACCACATTATACTGTTGTTCCATTATGTTCAACTCCTGATACTTATCTTTTTATTGATCAATTTCATTTTACTACTCGTGTACATCAATTCATTGCTGATGCTATGCGTAAATTTCTTATAAAATGGAAAGGACACTTTAGGTTTCATCGTTCTATTTTTTCTGTATAACTTCTTTTCTTGATCATATTATATATTTAATAAAACATTATTTTTTATTTTATATTACTTATAAAACTACTCAAAATGTTATTGATTTTCAATTGGTACTGAAAACCTTGAAAATTCAATTATTTGTAAGATTTCAATCGATTTGATCATTCACGATGTTTTAAGAAAAGTTAAAACTTTATTATTTTTTGTCTATGAATATAAAAAATTGTTCTAATGAAAATCCTACAAGATTCAGATTTCTAATGATATTTAAAAAACATAGAGAGTAAGTATTCATGTTCTTATCAAAATAGTTAATTAGTATTGTTAGTGTCTTTATGAAAATGGTTTCGTTAAATTACTTTCTTATATTGACATAGAAGAATTTATCATTTCTAATTGACAACATAGAGCAATGAAACTGAGTATTCGGTCTATGGAAAACAAAATTTTCTTATTTGAATGAAACTTCTCTCATAGATGTTATATTAAAGATCAAATTTAGGTTATTGTGTAAGAATTGAATGAGAAAAATTCCATAGTTGAAGCATGGGAATCAATCGTATGGATAAATAGATTTTTTTGGGTACTTTATATAACGAATAATACATAAAGAAAGAGGCATTTTCGAACAGAAATTTAAAAAATTTCATAAAATATTGTTCCTAA